AGAGCAGATCCTGGCCCCCCCACTGACCCTTCTCCTCCCAGAGCAGATCCTGGCCCCCCCACTGACCCTTCTCCTCCCAGAGCAGATCCTGGCCCTGCGTGTGCGCACCGTTCTTGGGCCGCGTGCAGACCTCGGACAGGAACTCCATGTGCTTGGACAGGTGCTTGTGTAGCGCTTTCTCCCTGATGCCGCGGGGGTGCAGTGCTCGCAGGAGAGCCGCCAGCTCCTCGGGGTCCCGGATCCACCACCAGCCCCTCCTCATCTCTACGGGGAACAAGAATTGGTGGGGTTAACGAAGCAGGGGCGAATTTGGCCAACCCACGCCACGGGTTTCGTGCAGAAGAACAAGGGGGGCATCCCTCCCCCACCCCCCCCACTGACATGCTGCAAAAATGACCCCAAAAGCGCGAGACCAGCGGCGATTCCTCTCCTAGTTCAGCTAGTCGAGCGATGCAGAAACCCATGCTGCAGCCTCTGGTCTCTCACAATCCCCACAGTCAGCTTGCCTTGCAAGGTCTGCCAAAGCAGACGCCCCCCCTCCTCCTCCAGCCCCACAGTAATGAGGGACGCAGGCCCGACCCTTCAGGGACCCTCCAAGCTACGTACCCCTCGAGCTAGAACACCACCAGAGTCACTGCTCGGCAGCCAGCGCTCATATTCTTGGCAGTAAAGGGTTTCACGGTGCCCTTGCCATGTGTCTGCTGAAGGAGCGAGGCTGTCGGGACGCAAACCCGCGCTTCCCAAACGCAGAACTTCTGTGCGAGGGGACGGTTAACCCACAGGGCAAAACCATCGGGCGCGAAAACCCCGTCCGCATCCCTCACGCTCGCAGAAACCCGGGAAAGCAGGACAGGACCACTCTGCCCGCAGAAGGGAAACGAGCGTCTGTCTCCACGGGTCAAAGGGCGGAGGACGAGCTCTGTGATCACAGGTCCGAGCCTGGGTGACAGCGGCGCGGTGGGCCGATCCCAGGCGGAGGTGGGGGACTTGCCTGCAGGGATGGGCTGGGCGACGAGCTGAGTGAAGTACTTCTGCTCGATCTGGCGTAGCAGCTTGCTGGGGGGGCGGCCCCGCCGCTTGGTGCCCCCTGGCAGGGAGAACCCCAGGGCGGAGGGGTCCCCGGGATTCTGGGCGGGGCTGCTGCCCCTCCTCCTCCTCCGGCGGTCCGGCTTGAGCAGCGGAGTGGAGCAGACCAGCGGGGCGCTCAGGTCCAAACTGGGAGCCAGGGACACGGGACACTGTACAGGGAGAGCGAGCGGACAAGGAGGTTCATCACGAGCGCGGGGGGCGGAACGGAGACAGGCGGTTTTAAACTGGAGGCGTAACACTAGATTGTTGGGCTGCAGAAAGCGAAGGGAGACCAACGCGCTTCAAGGACAACGCGACGGCCCGGACGGCACGTGAGCGCCCCCTACCTGCAGGAGCGAGGCAGTGTGGGCTGGCAGGCTGGCCTGGGTCGCGCTGGGAGGAGCGTCTCCGGATGAAGGGGCTTGGGAAAGGGAGGAGGGGTCGCAGGGCGTTTTGGGGAGCAGGTTGAACCACTGGCCGCGTTTCTCCGCCATCTCCTTGACGCTGTCCTCGGCCGCGGCCTGCGCCTCCTCGCCGTTGGCCGGGGAGCCCTGCGACTGGCTCAGCCAGGAGAGGAAGGCGGACTGGTTGAGGTCCTGCTGGGCCGGGCCGGCGCCGCCGGGGGGCTCCGGCGTGTCCTCGGCCGCCGCGGCCTTGCTGCTGCGACGCCGGCGGCGGTTCTTGGCGGCGCGCAGGTGCAGCTCCACCTCCGGTTTGATCTTGCGCGGGCGGCCCCGGCTCCGGGGGCTGCTCATCAGGGAGGCCTCGCCGGGGAGGGGGTCCTCCAGGAGCGGCTGGGGGGCCACCGCCACAGGGGGAGGGGGAGGGG